GCCACCCCCTTTGCTTTCCCTCCCCCCTCGTAAATTCCTCCAGATGCCTTGTGGGATTCCTGGACCTCCGTGAAATGCGAACTGCCCCTCGTAACTCCCGTCGTAAGCGCCCTCGTAACGCGCTTCACCGTGTCTCGTAATGCCCCTCTTCCCCGGAGAGGCCGCAGTAAAGGCTGAGACAGAGGAGCTGTGAGGTTTAATGGGGAGAGTCAGAGCCGTATTAAATACACAGCTAAAAGACATATAGACCCCGGGCAGGATTTGATTAAGCCCTGTTTAGTGCTCAATTCTACAGTTGCTGTCGCTTCTAAGGGCAGTAAAGATATGTATGTTAACAAAATGTGAGCAATATTTTGTTTATCATAGGTGCAGTTGTGGGATTCTGTATTTTAATGGTTTATGTTCCAAAGAAATGTGGTCAGTGGTGCAGCAGTACTTCTGTAAAGGACCTTCCTCTCTCCGTCTTTGTCTCTTCTTGTCTCATCCCCACTTCCTGCTGGCTGAAGTTATTTGGTCTCAGGTGTGTTAATCATGCTGTGTTAATCTGTATTCTGAGAAAAGCACCAGAACAGAACAGAGGAACTATGTGCGTTATGCTGCCAACTTTCCAAATCCTTTTCGTTTGTTAACGAGAAGTAGCGTGCAGGGAATTCAACGTCACAGTGACGTCGGGAGCAGCCATGTGTACATTTGTCACAATATCTGAGAAGCGTGGGATTGTTTATACTGAACACATGCCGGTGGTGGCAGCAGTAGGGATGGAGGTGAGGGGGGAGCGCTGCCATTAGAACACAGTAACCTGGATCAGTCTGGATCAGCGGCTGGATGTCCGTGTTCCTGATCTCGCTGTACTGTGTGCATTTTGGGAACCTGTAAAGCCTCTCGTGTGAAGCTCCAGACACCCTAGAAAAGAAAGCTAAGTGATGAAAGTGGCAAAAAATAGATCAATGTCTGAGTAGTCCGTGTTTATCGAACTCTGATGGGCTATACAAAAGAACAGGGAGGAGGTGCGTGTCTGTTCTGTTATCCACCAAAGCTATTCTTGGCCTTTTGGTTGTCAGCACATTCCACTGTGAAGAGTTACACTTAGCTCAGATGTGTGTGTTTGAATGACTGTCAGATCTGAGCGCAAACACACACACAAATACACCCGTATAAAACACACTTGTACTACATATTCAACAACCAAAGTAGTTTGATTTAATACAGTGTTTGCGGACAGTTTGTGTTAAATCTGATGACAATGCGTAAGCACCCTCCTCCCTCATCTCACACACGCAGAGTGGCACCTGCCAAGTGCCCAGGATAATCCACACTTACTATTTGACCGTCACGACATCACCAGAGGGTCAGGGGGCATCGAGTTTACTTGACCAATCTCCACTTTAATACCACGTTCATCTACTTGAGTACAAGCTCCTCACTTCCTCCTCTTAGCCCCAATCTTACCATTGTTGGACCCAATGTCCAACATACGACCATATGATCTAAAATCGATAAACTTGATAAGTGTACGAATTTTTAAAGACCGAAGTATTCTGGACTGGACTCTGATGGTTGGTTAAACATGGGTTTGATGTCATTATTTGTTTCCTACCTATAAGTTAAATTAAGTAGGATTCAAACTATTTATTTTGACAGAACAATCCTAACTCAAGGTCCACTTGCATTTTCCAGAGCTCTCCACCATCTTCATCACCAGTTTGCTTAGTTGTCATAGGCATTGATTTGTTGACATCTGAGTTTTAATTCCATCACTTTTAGCACCTAGCATGATATTTCATAATAGTCTTTTGGAAGAGTGATGCTAAAACTAAAACCATTTCCATAAACTGATATAACTCTACAATACATTAATAGGACATTTTAATGTGAATATGCTCTCCACAAATATATGCATAAGTAAGAATAAGTACAGGAGCCAGCAGGCTCAAAGGGATGGAGTATCAGCATGAGGTGTCAAGTGGGCAAATAATACCCTCAGAGTGTCTCTTTCAGATGTGAGTGCCATTATAGATCTATTCATGGCCTCTATGGCCGTTTACACTGTGTTGATCAGGTAACCCAACACCACTACTAAAGTCTTCCTGAGTCACGTTCACACACACACATTTTCTTTAGAGATGCACTTGGTGACTCTCAGTATGTGTGTGTCCCCTGCGCGCACACACACACACACACTTAAATCCCCCACCGGCATGGTGACAAGGTTACCACAATGCTTGTTAAGATGAACAGTTGTCATCGGCTGGGCTGAAGGTGTTTGGTGTCATGTTTCAGGATGCATGCTGCTGTGCTGGCATTAGACATGTCCAGTTTAGTCTCCTTGGGATGGTTAGGAAATATGACCAAATGACTGGGCAAAATCCTGATGGGTGACTGGGCTCAACATGAAGTCTCTTCCTGATAACTGTTTCATTTGTAGTCAGATACATCTACTGATTAAAAAAACAGCAACATCTGCACACCGACTGAAGATCCAATTGGGATCCAAGTGTGTTGTTTGGAGTCACTGTGCAGACATTACTCGTTTCATCAGTGCTAATGAAATATGATGAATTACAGTCCTTGCATTATAAATAGTCATCTGTTCACCTACGCTGATTCATTTCTGATTACTTTGTTCCCAAAATCCACAGAACCTCCAAACAAATGAATGTTATTATTGAAGTTAAACTTTTGAGTGAGGGAGTTTTTAACTACTCAATTTAATAATGTCTCTATATGACCTCCATAAAAAACATCACCATCAGCGAGGATACTAACCTATTTCTGTTAAATGTTCTTAATGCCTGTCAACTGGGTCGTATGCAAGTTGGATTCCGCTGAGAATTAATGAAACAAGGCATGGAAACATTACCACTTTTGTCCCACAGGGGCCCGCCAGATATCAACACGAAAATGAAAGTTCCTTGTAGGGGCTTTAAATATGATAATCTCACAATGTAGACGCCTGTTTTAAGCATTAAATCAAACATATTTTCAGTAGTATTTGAAATACTGATTGTTTTTCACACAATGCAAAGTGCGTGAGTGAATGTTAGCTTTTGACACTTCACCCTGTGATATGATTAGAGTGTGATCTGTTTACGTTAAATGCATGATTAATGTCCTGTGTTTGCGTTTCTGTAGGTGTGCGCCTGGACCGGGTTCGAGGCGGCAGACAGAAGTACAAGAGGAGAATAGATGCTGAGAACAGCCCCTATCTGCACCCACAGAGTGCCTTGCCTCAGAAAAGAACCTGTGAGTGTAACAAACAAAAGCTTACGGTAAATACAGTGCGCTATAAACACGACTGAAGGACATAGTGGCTCAGCAGTGAGTCTATGTTAATGGCTTCCTTTATTATACAGTCAATTCATGCTTTCTGTGACGTTGTCTGTCATAGTATTGAATCATTTTTATAACTAATATTTGCTAATTGCTATTGCAACGGTAGTTTTTTTGAAGTGGGTTGCTTTAAATAGTTGTAATGAACCTTGTTGCTGTCCTTCTCGTTGTTGTGTTACTTGTTCTGATTAAATAAAGGTGTTTCTCATAATAAAAATCAAATTTTACTCTCTCCACCCTCTCTCAGTCACTGTTGGCGGTGGGTTAGAAAACAAGGTGGTGTCTCTGCTGCTGGTGGCCGAGCCGGAGGGCATCTTTGCCATGCCGGACCCCACTGTACCTGAGAGCGACATCAAGGCTCTGACCACGCTGTGCGACCTGGCTGACAGGGAGCTGGTGGTCAACATCGGCTGGGCCAAACACATCCCAGGTACGATTCAGGATGAAACCCCCTCCGGCCAGTCAGTTGTTTGCTCACACAATCCACCGCACACATTAGCCCACATTAAGTCTATAATCAGATCAGAGGAGGAGATTGTTGTGACTTGTGGTTGCCAAGACACTCACTGGATACCCAGAGGAGAGAGGGCATGTTGGCGTGCCTGTGTGTTATCTGTCAGTCATCCTCTGTGTGTGCGTGTGTGTGTGTGTGTGCCATGCGCTTTCTGACTAATGTGTGTTCCTAAAATATCAACCAGATGACCAGTGGCTACCTGGAAGTTTTAATTCATTTCCTGGGCTAGAGCCGCTTCTGAATTACATAAATCCTTCACACACTTATCTTCTCCTTTGACACAGGAACAGCAGAAGGGATGTCCAGAGTTTTTTTTTTCTTTTTCCTTTGGATGAGAGGGTGGAAAGGAGAGGGGAAGTACATTCTGACAGATTAGTGGGATTAAAACTCTGGTATGCAGCTATGTTGACGGTTGTAATTGTATGCGGTGGCAACAGAGGTTTGCAGGTCTGCGTTTGATGCTCGGCTTTGGAGACCTTTACAACACTTGCAAATGAAAAACAGCACTTATTTTTCACACTTCGGGGCGTGTGTTTTGGGCCACCCCCGGTTGTGAGCTTCTCTGAATATACAAACTAATTTCTTCTAAATCTACAGTTTGTAGAAAAAGTCAAATATATGCTGAATGAATGAATGAATACTGGTACTTTATTTATATGTACTGTATGTCAGTATTAGTGCCGAAACTATTAGTCAATTACCCAAATGATAAAAAAATACTTGACAATTGATTGAGATTCTTTTCCGGATTATTAAATTAATCTATAAAATATCAGAAAATAGTGGAAAATTGCCACTACAATCTAAAAAAGGCACTAGTTAATGTCTTTGAATTGCTTATTGTATTCAACCAACCATCCAAAACACAGAAATAATCAGTTTGTAATGATGTAAAACAGAATTAAGCAACAAATTATCACTTTTTAAAAAAATGGAACAAGAGATTTTTGGCAAAAATTAATGTGTAATTATTTGATTGTCAAAATTACTGCCTGTTGAATGTCTTTTAAACAAGTATTGATTCATAAAGTAATTGTTTTAATTAAAAAAAACACCCATTTTGATTCATCCTTTAGACCTTTAGTCAAGTGAAAATACCAAATATTTGGTGCATCCGGCTCCAGTTTTGCTGCTCTTCTCAGATTTACATTATTGTGAATTGAATACAGTTTAATTTTGGGCTGTTGGGCACCATAGGGTCAGTCACTGCAATCCTCAGAAATGTGTTTTAAATTCAAGTGCAGACCCTAATGCTCCTATCGCACATATTTCAAGCTGAATTTTTGGGGAAATGTGTATAAAATGATGCACAAGACATCTAGGACCTTTCCATTTCGGAAATCGTGCAGCCATAGGAAGCCATTGTGAACATTATAAAGTGAAGAGTTGGTTTATACAGTATACACATACAGCCATACATGATACAGCCAGACACAGTGGAATAGGATAATTTTTTTGCACCATAAAGCTATACTTAAGAGGGAAATAAAAGAGGAAAGCTGGATATTAAGGAGGTAAACAATTAATCACCCAATACCGTAATACAGCCTAGAATTAGATGCGGGCTCCAGCAACCAGTATGGAGGTATTATCGTCTCTCTCAATTTCTCTTATCGTCTGTTTTCCTCTAACTGAATCCCTGACTGCTTTATCAGCCGTGGTTATCCACACCCAAAACATCACTAGGGAAACACCTGGGTTTTTTGTTGATGTCTTGTCTCTGAAATGCTTACAAAACAAACAAAGCAGGTGTGTGTGTGTGTGTGTGTGTTCTTGTATCTCAACTATATTTGTCCTCGTATTTCTTCCTATGCAATGGACATGAAGCAACCATTTGAGGTGTGTTTCGGTGTTTGATGTCCCTCATCAGCATTTCCATTGTTCTGTTAGAAATGGAAGAGGAGCATCACCCCCCCTGTCACCCCCACCCCCGGGCTGTTGCTGTCTGCCCCCTTTCCCCTGTTGTCGGCTCTTTACTGTCAGCGCACAAGACAGACGGAGTCCAACTGATGGGTGTATTTGTAGGCTTTGCCAGTGGAGGGTTTGGCTGGGAGAGCAGGGCAGCGGTGAGAGGCAGCAGATACCCACCTGAGGGGGGGAGAGAGACACAGGGAGCCATGTATTCATCCAACTGTCAAGCAAATTTTACTTAAAGTTTTGAAATGCCACAAAAACAAAATTAAATGCAAAAAAGATGCTCTTCATCAGATACACAGTCTTCTTAAAAAGAAGGAGGATTTTTAGTAGCAGGCAGCTTGTTGCTGTTCATTAGTGTCATTTAATGTATAAGTCTTAAATTTAAAGATAAAAACTAATTATTTATCCAATATAATAGCTAATGCATTAGATTTTTGAAAAAAACTAGTTAGCTTAGCTTAGCAAAAGATTGGAAACAGCAAAAGAAAATAAAAATAATACATAATAATAATACAATGTCTGATTTGGACGTGCTGGTTGGTTGATTTGTTACTTGTGGACGGAGCCCTGTTTTCAGTCTTTATGCTAAGCTAAGCTAACTGGCTACTGACGTAGCTTCATATCAGTCCCTCCAGAAAAATGCGGCGTTTTTTTGTGATTGTTGCAGGCA